AGTTGGAAAGTGAGGACCTAGTGGACGAGTGGTCACCAGTATGGTTTCGTGCATGGAGAAATAATAAAAAGCCACTCACCGGGCTTACAAGGAATGCAGACGCCGTCGGGCCCTCGGATGAGCTCCATGGTCTCTTCATCGACCCTGACTAGTCGGATGGGGTAGATGAAGGGTAGAATTTGGCTGTTGAAGCCGCATGCGCCCACCTGGAGGAGATTGCGACACCAAATGGTGAGGAAAGTCATTTCGACGGAGCCAAAGGTACAAAAACGTGGCTCCCCACCTTGTTGTCAAAGTTCCCTAAGCTGCAGTTGCACTCAGTCGCGCCATAGAATTCGGCGATCTGTGGAATGTTGTAGCGCGTCATGAATTCCTCCCATATGGACTGACGCAGGCCGTTACCTAGCGCCATGCGCACACGATGCCGTTTTTCCATGTCCCGAACGGGCTGGTTGAGCAGGTAGCGGCATATCTCACCGATGTACTGCACAATCTGATGGACAAGGACGAGAGGAAAGCAACCGTAGCTTAACGGCGGCGACGTCAACGTGACGAAGACAAAACAAGTCGCTCGCGTGCTTGCTTACGGTGCAGTTGTACTTGGCGCAGTCGTCCCAGAAACGGGAGGCAGAGAATTTCTTTCTGATGACGACACTCATGCCGTGGATGATACACTGGCCCACACCCACAATGTTACCTGTCGACAACTTGGCATTATTAAATTAAAAGTAAAATGAACCACACTTGGGGCTCGATTTTAAGTACAAAGCGCACATGTGCACGGGCGTGTGAACCGCGTATCTTGATTTTCGTGCAGGTGAAGCGTGTTTAGGAATTCGACAGAACGCACTCCAGTGAGTGCATTTCTGCTTCCGCCATATCAACGATTATGTGCGCGTCTCCTACGCTGAATTGAAAGGGAATCAGAGGAGCCGTCTTCATTGGCTGGGAAGCAATTTGGCTGTGTTCACTCCCACAATGGCGCAAACCTCTCCTTCTGACAGCATTCATCTCCAACAATATCAAACGAAGCGTATACAGAGTCATGTTTACCTGCAGAGTGGTAGAGTGGAAGGCAGTCATACAAGACGTCATCTGGTGTCATCCTGAAGCCATAATACACCAGAGCGGCCATGCGGTAATACCTTTTGACCAGAAGAATGGGTGAGTCAAGTCAAAACTAGGTTTGTCGCATGACTCTTAACTGCATGACAGGCCACGTGAATCCATTGCTTTGGAGCTTACGGTCTTCGCAGCATGCTTGCTTGCTTCCTACCTGCTGTGCACGACAATGGCCGCTTTAGGCATCCCGGTGGTTCCTGACGTGTAGATGTAGAAGAGGCGATCTGGAAAACAAAGCAGTGGGATCACAAATACGGCCAATTTGATCTTTTGTCGAAAGGAGTCAGATAGGGTGTACATTTTTTTCAACGCATTTTTCACCCTTTTGCAACTAAAATGTGCCCCACTTTGATTCACACGCTACCTTAAACAAACTGACTGTGGTTTGTCGACAATCTGTCAATCACAAATGTGTGTATGCAACATAAAGACACTCTGATCAAGCCCTAAACTTATTGATCCGAATGACTCTTGCTTTTAAATCTGCCCAAACGACTTTTATTTACCAGGTATGAACACGGGCGAAGGTCAGTGGTTTTATTGCCACTGCAACTGCACCGTTGCCATCACTGATGACACGCGCAAAAATTACGTGAGCAGAGGGGGAGTAAATGACAAGTACATTGGGATTCTTTTATTCATGTCGTGTGGATATAAAAGACAATCAATGAGGTAGGCACAACAACCAATACACATTAAAGTTTTTTTTTTCTCTGCAAGTGTACCTTTTTCTACCCTTGGTGATAGATTGATGCTAATTGTTCGATGTTGCTGCTCCTGTTTTTCTCCCCGTTAAAAATGTATATGTTATTTAAGATTGTGCATATTTTCATGAACATTTTGTCAATAGAATTGCAATTGCCGTACGTGGAAGATTTCCCGTGGCGTGGCCTTCTTACCAGTGAAGCAGCGTTGCGGTCGACTGGGCAGATGCGAAGGGGCAGCGGCGAGCAGCGGCTCGAGGCACTCTGTACCCTGCGGTACCCGTTTGGGGTCCCATTCTCCGGAGCAAAACATCCGCACCGTCTTCCCCATTGAAACGTGGACCTCGGAGACAGCTGGAGGAAACAAGGCACGATTTATCACGTTTTTGAGAAACCACACCATGCGGTGCGATATAAAGCCCGGACGCATGACACTGAATGTTCGAAAAAGCAACCGATGATTGATTTTTTTCCAATTTCAAAAATAAGTTGGCCCCAACTGGCTCGAGCTTTCCTTTCTACTACCTTTTAAAAATACATACAACCATTAAGTAAAGAATAGGTTGAGGATTCGTGCTGACATCGGCGCCTTCTTCATTTTAACGTTGGGCAGTCACCCAAAAAGCACCATGAGGCAGTAAAAGACTCATTTATGAGCACGCTGCAATGTGGGGCTGCAGTTTTTCACCTCTAATATTACCCGCTGATGTTTCAAAGCAATGGAGAGCAAATGCTTCTTACCATCAGTCATCTCGGATCCAAAGACCACAGCTTTGGCATTGGAAATGGTGATGCAGTGCACCAAGGCCTCCAGTCTCAAATTGAAGTTGATGAGTGCCGCCTCCACGCCAACCTTGGCCATGCCAAGCCAGAGTCCCACATACTGGGACCTGTTCTCCATGAAAATGGCCACCACGTCGCCCTCCTGGGAGGGTGACGAAGCACAAAGCAGAGCGAGAGTCAAAACCGCCCGGGAGATTGCACAGACGATTTTTAGATTTGGTTTACTTTGAAGCCACGCTGGAGCAGCAGGTTGCCCACTTGGTTGGAGTACTCGTCCAACTGCCGGAAGGTCCACGTCTCGCCGGTGCCCTCAAAGATCAGCGCCGTTTTGTCCGCGTGACGACGCACCGTCTCGGCAAAGATGGCGGGAATGGTGTTCTTCTCCCGCAGGTGACGTTTGACGTTCATCTTGACTCGTAACAGCACTGATGCCGCGCTGGAAAAAAAAAAAGAAACAGCAAAAACTCATTGGCATCCGTGAGTACTGCTTTCACAGAGAAATGCGGGGGGGTTTTAGATGACCATAATACATCCTGCTGGACAACCTACAGATGTTCATATTATAAAAAGTACTGGAGAAAAAAAACGATGTAACTACTTCCTACTAGGATTAAAAAAAAAAAAAAATAGAAGCAGGCATTCATTCCTGTTTAATTTCGTTATTAAGGCCACACTGCTGTTATTTCGGGGCTTTTGGGGGGGATCTGTCTCCCGACAACTGAAAAGTAAAACTGTATTCGTGTGTCAAATCAGCCTGGACGTGAAAACAAAAATACACCATTGCGAAATGGTCAAACCACACCACTTCCAAATCTCTCTCTTTCAAACACAAAGGTCATCCGTTACCAACGATAGTGACGGTAATGACGCCTGCCATAAAAGGCGACAGCAGAGGAGAGACTCGGTCCGAGGAGCAAAATGGAATCATTGCACTTGATATTTCACGTACGGAGCAAAGGTGCAAAGAGTCAGATAATGGACGGAGTGCCGTTTATTTACTGCGACCATCAGCAAAAAACTCTTTAGCTATACCATGTGTGTAATATCTGCAACTTGAATAAGTAATACATTCAGCGTTATTTATCATGAGGGAGTTGCTCTATTTATTCATATAACATTTACTTCGATTTACACTGCCTGAGAGTGATGATAGTGATTTTAATGTTCTATTTTTATGCTATACTATGCCTCCCCCACTTTTTTTTTTTTTGAAACAATCTTTTACCCTGCCCTGCTGTAACACTTGACATTTCACTCCATGGATCAATAAAGGATAACCATATCTTATCTTATGTACACCACTGCTTTCTGCAAGCATAATAATAAATACCTCTCTGACAGTATCAGTCAAGACCGGGCATTACTTTGATACAACTCTTTTCCTGGATCCCGACATATTCTCCATATTATCGTCACGACTTTAACCCTTTCGTGCACTCTGTAATCTGATAACATGATCAAATGTCCACTGCAGTAAACGCTGTTCCTGAAAGGGTTAAAAAAAGGCATTTAATTCCTTCCGCTTAATTACAGCTGCTTAGTTCAGCCTTTCATCTTTCCCAAAGTGGCGTGATTGAAGACAACAGCGAATCCAGCTTTAGGGACGAATGCGTGGCTCTTTCTGCCAACTCCAACTGCCATTTTTCAGCAACCTGCTCTACCGCTGCGTTTTGAATTCATCTCTGTCCAGACTTTGGGCAGCCAATGACTAAAATGCAAATTCATATTCCTGCCTCGTGATGTTTTTTTTATCTCACACTCATAACACACATGAAAGGCACCCGCAAAATTCTTGAACACGTCACGGGACTTCTCCAAAACTTACTGCAAGTCTCTGCCGATTGTTTTGACAAAAATCCGTAGGAAGCGCCATCCTCCACTCCCCAAGTAGAAGATCAGGACGGCTGGCAGGACCTGGAACCAGGGCAGGCCCATCAACGGTCTCAAGACCAAGAGCAGGGCCGTGCAGCATGCCAAACGCAGCATCCTGAAACAACACGTCAAGGCTATGACAAGGATCTCGGGGCAAACAACCCGGGAGAAGAAAGGTTACATGAGAGATAAGACTGTTTATTGTAGTGCATCGGAGGAAAACACACACGCACACAGCCACATCCACATTCTAAAACAATGACTCGGCAAAGGCTGGTTTGAAATTTGACTCTCTAATTTTTGTGGGCAGAGGAAATATGCCTCGAAAGTCACACAATAATTTGAGGCAGAGGAAAAAGTGGAGCAGCTGCAGTAGCATGGAAAATAGAGATATCTACAAGATAGCATAGCAAATTCTTATTTTATATATCAGTTCTTCTCATATGATTAAGTTGACGAGAGGTCAGACTACACAACTTTTTTTTGGGTGTTCATGACTGTCAGATGACCATACATGACGTCATCATCAATTCGTTCTTGGCCACACTACAAGTATGCCAAAGATCAGACACCGCCAATAATAATGATCATTTTATTATAATTATTGAAATCACGGCAAGGCATGAGATGTGACAATGTTGGACCGCAAAGTTCCAGCTGTTACATACATAGTATATGTTGTCATTTTAAGTGGTGAATCTCCACCCTGTTATGATAGAGTAGAGGCAAGGCTGCCGTGACCACAATTCCACCACCGGTTCCTCTTTCTGGATGGTCCATTTTCGCACAACAGTCATATTTTCCCCAGCGTTTCCCTTCTGTTCACGCCCCCTCTCCTCATCGTTTGCAAAGTTTCCTAGTTACAGTTTTGTTGGAGCTCATCTACTGCTCATTGGGGTGGCAAAACTTTAGGTGGGGATGGTAGCTGTCTCCCCTTGCCACCCTGTAAAACTGCCTATGCTCCTTATTGGAGGTCACGGGTGTGTCGTGACAGCTGCCAAGGTGTCCGGTGACACCTCGGGATGAAGTTAAGATTTCATGATGCAGTCATGCAACAATAGAAAAGACGCAGCGGCTGATCTGTTATCTTGCGTAGTGGAAGGGTGCATTCTTATGATATTAGTCAGAGAGCGAGAGAGACTGCACAGAAAAGCACTCTTCCTTCCCCCTTCCTTCTAAAACACATTAAGCGTTCGATGTGCGTCGTGAGGTAAGCAGAGTTTCCGACTGGCTGCTGGTTCACCCGGAAATTTAAAAGGCGCGTAGCATCGTATTGAGGTTGTGGGGATGGCATCGTGTGCCATGTGCGCTTTGACACAGGGCCTCGAGAGACCGAGTGAACGGGGAGTGCCAGCCTGGAGGTGGTGCCATGCGCAATTTAAACGCAACGGGTACGGTTGGGTGGATGCTTGAAGCTGAGGTGCGTTTTTAAAACCGCGAAAAGATACGGCGGATGTGCCGTTCGCTGGCCGAGCTGCGTGAAGCGGCCGAATGAGATCACTGTCAAATGGATTTAGCGCACCGATCGCTCACAAGGTTGCCAGAGGACAAGCACACGGTCATCATCAGCGTCAAACCTTTTGTTAGACGCACGCGTACACACGCAGAAAAAAAAACGCCTCTCACCTGGCCCGCTCACAGCATGTAACGTGCAAAAGAAGAAATCCCAGACGTGAAGATCCTTGATCGGCTTACAGGCCAGCCTGCTGGTCGTCTCCTCTCCGCCTCGCACACGGCCGTTTCGGCTCGGCTTGATCGCGGCGCTAAGAGACGCACGGTGACGGATACGCGTAACGGGGATCGCCTTCCCTTCTTGTCGTTGTTAATACCAGAGCGCCTCCACTGCGTCTGGCCGGGCTGAGCGTCTCGACTTTGACCCGGCGACCATCATCCGTCCATTATGCCGATTCGCGATATGATTTCTAGCTTCATTGTGACTGATGAAGCGGTAATTCAAATGACCTTATCGTTTTCTCAGCAAGCGCCCGCCCACCGCCGGCAGTTTGCATGAGCGCAGGGGGAATATGCGGTGATTGACAGGGACGGCGACCAATCGAGGCCTTGTATTTATACAACGTCACAACTGGGAGGGGAGGTAGATTGACGGGAAGGAAAATGCGGCGCCGCCTGCCGCCGCCCGCTGCTGCTACTTCTGTTCGTCGACACACAACATTTTGTACCCGGTAGTGGAAAAGGCCTCGATGCGGAACTGTGACGAGATTTCACAAGCACTGTCAACTGCGCATGCGTTCGAACCCCTGCGCTCACCAATGCGCATGTGTGGACTCCGAATTTAAAAGAAAATTCTCTTTCCTTAAAATTCTTCTTGAGGGTTATTGACCAACAATGGAACAAGTTCAACATTCGTTATTATGAATATTAATCAACATTTAATTTAATATCGTTTACCATTTCCATAACTTCAATACAGCATAATGAAAAGTGTCACTTATGGCAGGCACTGTCAACTCTCCATTTAACACCCCCCCCCGCCCCCCGACACTGACAGCAGTGCAAAGGCGACTGGCAATAGCATGCGGCTGTTTTTGTCAGCTATGCACATTTCTTGTTACTGTGAACTGAAACTATAATTTGTGTATTTGTTTTGCTATTTTATTGCTCAATTCAGTGTGCACACGCGCAGGAAAACGAAATACTGAAAAGTGTGTTCAGTCAAACAAACAAACAAAAAAAAGAATATATAGATATTACTTTGTGCAATTTCTATAGAAGAACTGTCAACCGAAAGCGACTGAATTGTGTGATGCTGTTAATTGAATATTCTAACAAATGGTCAGTCAGTGTAAAACCTGTAAGAAGCAATGCTTTAACACGTTTAAAATAATATTTTTTTCTCAAATAATAAACATGGCAGAGAAGTAACCGTTCAAACATTTTCAAAAGAGTTATTTATACTGTCAGTCCTCCAGTTCCAGACCAAAGTGGCTGTAGAGGTCTCGTGTGGTGGTCCCGCGTAGAGCAGCTGCAGGAAACAAAGAAGGAGGAGGAGTTAAACCTGCCTTAGACTCATGGCAGGGTTGCCCCCCCCCCCACCCCCTCCTTCAAACACTCTTGTCTTCTTTTTAAAACAAACTACAAAACACTAAGCAGGCCGATGTCTCGGCTGTTCAACAACCCGATGGCTTTCAACAACTATTTGGTGCTCGACAATGCTCCTGAAAACTTGTCCATGTCCAATTTTGTTTTGACAATTGAGAGCAAATGAAACAACATACCCAGGTATGCTTGATTTAGATCAATTTCAATATGGTCCTTTATACTTTGACAACAATCAGGCAATCTAATTAAAGTGATGGACACGTTATAAATTCCATTCATCCATTTCAAACCAAATTTAATTTGTGCCACAAGATTTTCTGTTCTTATGAACGATATTAATCAACAGGCTAATCTCCAATACAAAGTAAAAGGAATGGGTACGGATCGCTAACTCCAGTTTGAGATATCTACAATTTGATTCTGACTAGTCATAATTCCAGTTTAAGATAACTTGAATTCAAAACACCTCCATGTCCCTTTAGAGACCAATCAGAATCCAAATGTAGCTATCTCAAACGGGTATTACAGTTCACTACTATTCTGTTGCAGATATCGTTAATTCACTGGCATTGAACCCCAGGGGTTGGGTGAATCAGCTTCAAGGGTTCAAGAGATGTACAAAGTGGTGGCTGACAGATGAACACGGCACGAGACAAAGTGACAGTTGTCCCCGGCGAGTACGACAGAGCATCTCCTCACATCACCATTCTCTCGCTACACACTGCCCAACCATGTCCGCCCCCAGACTGACGCCGTGTGGCGCGTCAAACTTCGTGGCCAAGCGCGGGTTCTTTGTGAAAGCGTGTGTTGAAAATGAGCGAGCGAGGTCAGAAGGGAGGAGGTTTCTGGGTGTTTGAATGTGTGTAAATGATGAACAGAGATGGTGATTGTGCCCATGTGTCGTAAATGACGGCCATTGTGCTGGAGGGGAAGTACTACCTCTGTTTACAAAGGAGTCATTCCTGATGTGACTAGATTGTACTGCGCTGTGGGAGAAACAAGCTTTTGGAAAATAAATACTGTAATGTGTCATGATAGACATGGGAAATAAATAAATGTGTGAAATTGAAAATAGAACAAGCGGAGAGGTCACCTTGACATGTGTTTATGCGCAAAAGTGGCTCAAAAGTCTCCCACCATGATACACACTAGTTGTGATTCATCCAAACTTGACTGTAAATGATCATTCTTCTTACCTAGTCTGCCCAGGAGAGACTGTCCAATGTCCTTGATGTCATTGTACTCATGAAGCATATCAATATGACAGTCCAGCTCTCCCACTTTGTATCCCCTGGAGAAACACAACTTTATTTTATCCAGAATGAAGACTTGAAAATGGATTTCATGATCTTACCTTTCCCTTGAAATAAATACTGAAATAAGCTGCTTGCATTCCAGGCTCACTCCATTTTAGAGGAACAAAAGCAGCTGTACTCACTGGAACTCCAGCTGTGCAATCTCAGCATCCAGCTGCATTCTCCTCCTCTCCAGCTCCGCCACCTCTTCTTCAGGACACACTTTAGAAGGCTTGTTTATTTGACCCTGTGATGCAAAAAAATAAATAAATAAAACAAAAACAAAAAACATCATATTGGAGATATGTGTTTGGATTTGAAGTGGGTACTTACTGGTGATTTGAAGTTGGAGTTTACTTTCTTCAACTTTGATAGTGGAGTTCTATAAGGACAATGATTTTTAGGGAGGGCATAATTAAGACTGGTGATTAAAATACGGTGAAAATAAATGACAAGTAATCGTCTTGGTAAAATAATGAATGCATATCCAAGCATTCGTCCATCTATTTTCCAGAGTGCTTGGCTTAGGGTCGCTGGTATGGTGGAACTACACTTAGCGGAAAAAAAAAGTTTCACGACTATTACATATTGTCTCAGAAAATACAATACAGTATATTGAGATAATGTGTCAATGATTCAGCTTAGAAAATAAAATGGCAGTCTTTGAAATGTAGGGGTAGGTTGAGTTAAACATCAAGCGAAAGTCAATAAAATAGACCTTTTCAACGGTGCTCTTTCTAGACCAGTCCCTTCTGCTGTCGAAATTAGGCTAGTTGATTTATTTTGTTCCCGGATATCTTCAGACGATTGCTGTGAATTCATATTTGCACTGACGTTATGATAGGTTTTTTTTGGTGACGATTGAAATGATACGAACAGGAAGTTGTTGTCACACTGAAAGTGATTGGTTGTGGAAAAGTAAGAGGCGGTGCTTTGGTGACAAGAAACTACGGTGGCCGATAAAAGGAAAAGTTTATATTTGACAAGCAACTACGGTGGCCGATAAAAGGAAAAGTTTATGTTATTGAAATGAAACCGAGTCGCCGATGTAATCTTTATACACTCACCTGACTTATGAGCGAGCAACGTGGGGTCGGTACCCACTCAGTGACAATGTGGATGTGGGTGTGAATGGTTATTCGTCTCTATATGACCAGTTCAAGGTTTAGTCCGGTTTTCGCCCGAAGTTATCTGGGATAGGCTCCAGAACCCCTGTTCATAATGAGGCATTCTTTAAATATAAATGAATAAAGTTGCAAGAACCATTGTTTGGGCGGAAAAAAATAGATGACTACGAACGTTGAATTAAAATGTCCTTTTTTATGTAACCGCCAGATGGCAATAAATTACCACTTAATATCCCTCTGATCCTTGAGTCCATCTCCCTTTGCCTTCTTCAGCGCCATGTCTTCAATTAAAAAAAAAAAAGTAGCATGATCAGGGAGTGACACTTTGACATATTCATGTGTTAATATACACCCAGGCCTCTCTGGAGATCTCATGCTGCAGGGCTGCGTCTCAGACTGATTCACCACCACCGCTTTAAATCGACAAAGTAAATCACTGGTGGTGGATTAACAAAGCAAAAGGTCAAGCACTGTATGCAACACGCGAGCGCAGCAGCTCAGACTTTTACAACACATTGCAGGAGGCTGGAGATGTTCACTACGGTTCACTGGGTAAGTGGAGGAAGAGGAACACTGTGAAAGATTTCGCTTTTAAAACGGAAAGAGGAAAGACTTCCCAGAGCGAGAGGAAAAAAAAATGGAGAAAACGTGCCGCTTCTGGCAACGGAGGACATAAAATCAAGTCCGTTCAGTTTTATGTCCTAAGGATTCATTGCTTATTTATCAGTTTGTACAAAGACCGAGAGGGCGGGAATGAAAAATTCAGACAGGAGAAATGGACTTTCTCTCCTTTTAGAAAGATCACACACACACACCGGCTGCTAATGGCTCATGCATGGCCTTGTGTGTGTGTGTGTTAGTGAGAGATGGACGACTGAGATTTCATCCCCCAGCTGATGCAGCAGCACTGAGCCAGACCAGGGTTATGCCCCCTAACATTCCAAACAAATGTATGGAGCAGCTGTCTTTGTTTATGTTCAAGTGGATGCTCACTGAACACAAATGTTTCTGTGCAGTTGGACAAGTACCCAACATAACATTTATGAGCATTTTGTGCAAAATCTCCATTTGAACAACGGCAGTGAGTGGAATACGATGGTGGTTAGAAGCACGTTTTGGCAAAAAAAAAAAAAAAAGCCTCATATCTACAGTCTCATCTCCATAATTCATGAGCATCCCAGCAACTCTGCTTTGCAGCATCTAAATTTCACGGTTGGAGATATGGTGAGCGGAACAAACAATGGGCACATGCTAACATACACAAACACAAAAATGTAGGGGCAGCCTACACTGTCACATTCTGCTCGCGTTGCTGATAAATTTGCATCTAGATGGTTCATGCTGATTTACACAAGAACGGCACAAACGGACAGCATGCAAGTCAGCCCACGTGCAGCCATGTGTACTATTCTTATGACTCTACACATACAAACTGTGTGATTGCTCTTCTTTAGTTCAGCTGAATTCAACATGATCCTGCATGTGTTATGAGTGTGTTGAGCAATGTGGCGGATACGTGGGCATTTTTTTCTTTCGTGAAACATTGACTGCGGATGGTATGATAAATGACGATGCGTGTTACGAGCATGCAAATGGTCATGTATGCACATGGCCATCCCTCGATGTGTCCTTGTGTCACCCTAGCCACCCCGCTGACAATTTTCTGGCTACGTTCCTGTACATGAGCAAGTTCCAGAGTCAAATTGTCACCAATATTCAACCTTTGTTAACTTTACAGGGGATATATCAAGTAAAACGGAACCATTCCTAACTGTTATTCCAGTGTAAAAATCTAAAACCTGCATCCTGCAGCTGTTTTGGCATACTAGTGTTTGATTATGGTTCGCTTCTGCTTCCTGGTCACTGTTTGTTAATAACGAGACCCCATCTGCTCCTCTCCTCTCCTCACGAAAGAAACAAACTCTAGTTTGCTTTGGTTCACAGCTGTCTGCAACAAGCCGTTTGTTCCGTGTGAGATATTTAAACAAAAGGAACCAGTGATCCGGCGAGTGTTTTGTGTTTCAAGTCAAACGGCAGACACGGCAGAGAATTAAATGTTACCAAGGGAACCGAGCGCGGACTGTCAAAGCTCTGATCAGATCAGCAGCGACGGAATGGAGTTTGCCGTTTGCACACAGCTCCAGTCAGCCTTGAAGTGAAGACGGCTGTTTGTGAAGATCGCTTACTTTGCCCAAGATGCACGAGAGTGATAATGAACCACCCTGACAGCAAGGTGAGGAAATGATTACCAGAACCTGTACAGGAGGGAGTTATTTCAACAACGAAGTGGCTGAGTCATAGGGGGAAGCGGCCGATCTCTATACACCCTATAAAGAATAACGATCCGGGTGAGGAAATAGATGCACTTATTAGCACAAGTGAGTCAGAGCTAATGAATGAGAGCTAGCACAGAAGACCGTGACAGATGGAGGCGTGTGAGGAGCCTCGCCTGGCACGGTACATGAATAGTCGCTTTGTGATGACATTTTTTTTTTTTTTTTTGGCGAGCTACATTCAGACATGAAAAACCTTTCAGATGATCTCTTTTAGACAACGATACGTTCACACTTACGCTCTATCGCGAGTGGGGTACGAAGCATATATTAGAATCGTTCAGGTTTAGAGACATCCGAGAACTGCGACTGGACGGCGACCAATTCGGGGGTCACCTCTCGTTCAAAGTCAGCTGGGATAGGCTCCGGTACACCCGCGACCCTGGGATAAGCGGCACAGAGAATGGATGGACGTTAGAAAACTTGGCCTTCACTGATTTTGATCATATGGGGGGTAAAAATGCTCATATTCACTCTGCTTATTGGCCTGTGTGTACTGTACCTTGCGTTAAGGTCAAACAACTCAGGCTCGGCCCATTACCCAGCGGTGCATTGAATTATACACTTACACCCCCCCCCCCAAAAAAAAATAAAAAATCTGGAGAAAATACAGAAATTAACATTTAGCAGGTGGATGCTAACTGGACTTTGATGGAATACGATTGTCACGGGTGCAAATACATCACATCAATTTGAACACCATTTTATTCTCAACATTGTGTCTGTTAGCCAGTTATCCATTTAAAAACAAGGACATGAACGTGTCTGTTCTACACTCGGAGAACAAAACAAGCTGGTTCGTGAAATAAACAGAAGTCATTCAAATACTTGACGGAAAAGCAACAGCGCATCTGAATACATATCTGTTATAATCTGAATAATACGAACAAGAATAGAGTTTCTTTTCCCCCCACTCGTTATGGCACCAAATTCCTCGTGTGACCGCCCCGTCGCATCATTAACAAGGAAAACATCGCATTGTTTGTGTGTGTATGTATGCATATTTGCGGGAAAGCTCGTCAATCACTCTGTGTTTGATCCGCTGGAAAAATAAATGAGCTTGCTCTGTAATAGGATAAACAGAGAGGGGGGGGGGGTGTCCAGTGCAGTTGCGTCCGCTTTCACTTTCTCTTGTTATGAAGCCGGAATAAATTCTATTCATTAAGAGCATCAAAATTCAAAAAGTCACCGATTCTTAGTCCGAGCGGCGGTCCTCCAGCAAGGTGAGTCAGGTGGTAGGAATGAATACTCAATTAAGTCTGACACCTTTTAGGAGTGGAGAGTCAAAAGTGTCCTGTTGAATATTGAGACAAGTGCCTTCAAAGCTTGAGTCATCTTCAGCGCCGATGATCGACAAATCAAAGACAACAGAAAAAAAAAAAAGGCTGCAAGAGTCCACGAAGCTTCAGCAAAGGGGAGGGGAGAATGGAATCTTTGTTTTCTTTTTTTTTGAAAGGAATAATCCATAATGACATTAAAACCTCTTGTACCATCAGTCCTTGGTTTTGACAGAAAGCAGTACATGCCGTCCGTCTCTTGAAATAAATCATCTTCAGCGTTATTGCTGCAGATAAGTACATGGGTGACCAAAAAAAAAATATATATCAATTAGCAATATTGTGTATTGCCCTAAAATGATCAGAAATAGTTCCACTCCCTATAAGGTTAGTAAATGGAATTGCGTGTCACCAAATATGGTTCCTAGCACAATCAGGTTTTTAAATATGATTTTGTGCATCCAAAACTGGTTCTTTGCCATATGATATGACCAAATATGTTTTTATTTTTCCAAGAAGGGTACTAAATATGGTTCCTTCCTCTATAAAGTGACAGTTCCATGCCCTTCAGAATCACCAAATAGGTCTCCTTGCCAAGTAAAATTACCAAATGTAGTGTCTTGTCCAAAAAGTATGACCCCTTTTTTCTGTAAGGTAACCAAATACAGTTCTTTACTCTGAAAAGTCGCCAGATAAGGTTCCTTGACCTATAGATTCGCCACATATGGTTCCTCACCCTTTAATGCCACCAACTATGTCGCCATTTTGTGCAAGGTTACCAAATATGGTTCCATACCTTTGCAAAATCACCAAATTAGGTTCCTTTCATTTTGAAATATTCAAATTTTGCCCCCTATAAGATTACCAAATATATTTCCTTGCCTGGTAACATGACCAAATAATGTTATTTTTCCTCTATAAAGTTACCAAACGTGGTTCACTGCTGTTTTAAATCATCTTAAGTTACCAGTTGGGGCTTCTTGCACTAAAACGTTACCAAATACAGTTCCTTGCTCTGTGTAGTCACCCAAAGTGATTCCATGCCCTATTGAGAGGTACAAAATGTAAATTCCTTATGACCTTACCCTAACAATTGTGAAGTGCTGGGAAATTTATTTTAATGGCAAAAATACATTAAAAAATATACTCCAATGAATGAACTTGGGTTTTTTTTTTTTGGTGCAGCCTTTTGTACCGTTTCCTACTAAATTCTTGCAAGAACGTATTGAAGGATTAAATAGAGTTAGACATTCACAGTCATGTGAGCGTATAACTGAAAGAGTCACACTACTTCTCAGAAGGTCCATGTACAAGGTACGAAGCACACTGAAAAGATTTGGGGGGGAAATAAATAGAGGATTTCTATCTTCTGCGAGCCCTTTATGTCATTTCGACATCACAGCCAAAGTTAAATCTATCTGCAAAAAAAAACAACAACAAGGCACCCCCGTCCCACAGGCGCTGAATTATGTTTCATAATCTCCATAATCTGTGCATGGAGGAGCAGACAGATCCTTCCATGGCAGGGAAACACAGCTCCTAATCATATTTTGCTTTGTTTTGTAGCAGCGATGGCAGAGAGAAAATCCCTGACCGTGATGTCATCCCGGAGAAGGGGCCGGACTATAGAAATGACATTTTGTAATATTTTACAAAAGTGTTCTCAAGCCAAGAAGTTATATAACAACTGGTACACTTCAACAGTTCAAGTCACAACTCATCGTTGTGTTAGCGGGTGGAAGTGAGTTCCTTGACCTGAACATAGCGTAGCAAATTGAGTCCTGAGAGCCAGTTGGATGTCCAAAGCAGACCACATCAGATGATACCAAATTGGACGATAGGGAGCACATTAACACCGAACACATCCATCGTTGAATAAAACCCGGAGGCCCGACTAAACATCAGTGCTGATGCTACAGCTGCGAGTGAACATTTCCCTCATGGTGACCGAGCGGGCCAAGTGTGGCTTACGGTAGTTGGAAATGTTGACGGGCACGGGCAATTCCATGTCCGGCTGCTGCGGGGGTGGCGGCATGCTGCGATAGCTGACCCGCTCGCCGCCGTTCCTCAGGCCATCGGCTTGGTGGTGGACCGGCGGAGGAGCGGGGGGCTGCAGGTAGAAGGGCAGCTCGTAGTGGGTGCACGACGGACAGAAGGTCTGCGAGCGGGTCAGTTTCCGGGCCAGCGGCGGTGTGGGGAAGAGGGCGGGGCCATTGGGAATGCAGGAGGCGGCGGCCGTGGCCGCCACAATGTTGTGGTTGGAGTGGACCGGCGGCAGGCGCGAGGTGACGGCGAAGTCTGGCTCCTCCTCCTCCGACTCGGACTCCTCCTTTTTACAGCAGTAATACTGGAGACGGGAGGAAGAGACAAGATGGGGTCAAATATTATCGGTACCTATATCTCGTACTTTGCTGTGCAAAGTTACCCGTTTTTTTTTCGTTGCGCTACAAAGTAAACACATTCATTTTCTTTGCCGACAAATCAAATCAAATAAAAAAAAAATACCCTTTTGTATCCAGCTCAGAGACGGCAATTCTCAGCATTCATACCCAGTCGCTGCTCAGTGCAGTTGTAGCTTTGCAAAGCAAAACATTTGCGGCTGCTATTTGTTACTCACAAAAAAAAAATGCAGCTTGCAGATGAATCCCGGGCATTTCGCCAGCTAATATCAAACCACAATAAAAGAGATTGCTTGGATTTGTCTGGCAATTAAATCGACCGTAACATGCCCTGAATACAGACGATAATATTGTTTTACACTCAATCAGCGGTGCTCTTGTACTTGACGGTGGAGAACGTTTCCAATTCTGCGGCAATTGTAGGTGAGACGAGGAAACCACTAACACTGTGATTCTGGGATGTTTTTTTTTTTTTTTTTTTTTAATTTAAACTCCAATGACTCCCCACCAGCCTGATAGAGCGATCTGAGGTTTGTCTCGTATGAAATCAGACACTGTTAAAAAGAGAGGACTTACTCACTGGAAAACGAGATTGATGTACGACGACGAGTGAGAGGGGAATTTAGGAGGAAGGGGGGTGGGGGGGGGAGATCTCATGAATGATTTACCGGCGGCTCAGATGTGAGAGCCACTGAGGCAGAATAGCTGATGTAAGTCGCGGCAGCGCGTGTTCCTTTCTTCGCGAGGCTGGCGCGAAATGAAAACTATGCAAACACACTTTGGTGAGTGCGGATATGAGTTTTGGTCCGCTCACTCCTCAAACAATCTGGCAAGTACAAGTTAATTTTCCATTCCGGAGGGTCACCGCATCCAAGCTCTATTTATAATGTCTTTATCATATAATGTGTCGTTGGCCCCTTCTCGATGATGTCGGCTTGCCATGACTTTGGGCCAAAATCGCATTTGGATGCATTTCTGACTGTCCTCCCGAGATGCAACTTCAAATGAATTACAAAAAAAAAAAAAAAAAAAAAAAAACAAGCTGGATGGTCCTTAACGGCCGTAATCCGTGTACACTCACCTGCAGTCTGCAGTAGCACAGTACTGCGATGATAAGGAGTAATATGACCGTAGCAAGAATTCCACCGGTGATGACCACTGTCCCGGCTGTCATTCGAATGGCTCTCCATCAACTGCCTGCGTTGGAGCAAAGAGGAACAACAACAACAAAAAAAAAGATAGGTGAAGAGCGGGATGACAATAACGAGCGCCCAGAAGGCTCACAACGGAGAGGCGCCATCAAGTAGATTACACCAGCGTGTCATCTCGGCACCGCTTATTGAATTATCCAGCTGTTACAAATAAATGTAATGGAATCATCTGGCAAGAGCTGCTCGCTGTGTCGGTTCAGACTTGAAAACGTTTGGGGGGCGCAGAGGGAAAAAAAATAAAAAGTTGTTTGAGGATGTTTGATTACAAGCAATTGAGATGATATGCGGGAAAAAAGAGAGAGCGGAGAGAGAGACAGAAGGGAAAGGTCAGGATGAGAGACAGATATGACGAGCGGATATGAAATGAAAACAAGAAGGACCGAAGGGGATGAAGATGCTGGGAGGAAGTGAAATAGGATGGGGGGGGGGATAAAATGGAGCATTGGGATGCTGACAAAAGGCAAAAACAGGGTGATTATGTCATGAAAAGAAGGCATCAATAAATAAACAGAACGCGTTATTTTCATCACTAACTAGGCAATTAAACTTGAAGTATCCTCACTTATTTGTCCCTAAGGACAAAAATTGACAGCCTCACAAAAATAGCCATTTCCCCCACAATCACTAGCAAGATTGTTACTCATTTTAGGAGTTTTTTTTTTTTTAGTCTCCCTTGAACTGTTTCTCCCCCCACTTACAAAAGCTGCACATTCAGAAACAGGGGACAATTTAAATCAAATAAGGGGATGGACTAATTTAATTCAGGGCACTCATCTGTTGCTGGAGGCTGCTCCGCCCCCTCAAGTCAAAAACTCATCATTAGCGACTAGTCAGGCTCAAACAACCACTAGAGTAAGCATGAGTCGACGAGTCAGTGCTAATGTTAGCGCTGTACCACTTGGGGAGCGGTGCTAGTCTTGAACCTTCTTCCCCCTTCTCTAATTAGTGCACACGTGATTGATCAAACCACATACATATTCACGCATCGAAACTGTCAACACATGCTTCACGCGCATATGCCACTTAGCCCTCGTGCACGGTTGACTAGCATTCTCTCATGAGGCCACTTTAACCCGATCGGCGTGTTACCGCGCTGAATACACACACCACCCATGCACGCTCCACAGTGTGTAATAGCTCCGCTTTGGCTGGTGTTCGTCCACCATCGTGACACGAGGTTGGCGGCAATCCCTGGGCCGCCGCTAACGCGCTCAGACAACAACACGGGGAATAAAGCGCCACACTTTGATGGAACATGGCAGAGATCACAGCGGAGGTCTTGCTGGAAATAATGGCCGCTGACAGGCTCTCAGCCGGAGCGAAGTGGAACGCTTGCGAGGTGGTGAACAATGAGACTCGCACTGTTGCAAGTTTAGGCTGTCAACACACATGCGTGCACGCGTGCGTGTGTGTGTGTGTGTGTGTGTGTGTGTGTGTGTGTGTTCGGCAGGGCGTTGTGTGAATAACTTCCGACGCTCTTGGTACTTTCCGTCTGTGACTTCTTTGAATGGAAGTGTCAATCAACAACTTTTTTTTTTTTTTGTCCCTGATTATTCACTCGAGTCTACAAGTGATCATTCCGTCTCACTAATGAAGCTGCTTTCCAGTTGGGAAACGGGATTTAGCGCCGTGAAACATTCAACACAAGTGCTACTTATTTCTTTGAAAAATAAGTCGATGTTAACCCTTATGCAGTAATACAGATTGTTACGTTTAAAGTATTTGTCCCAAATTTGGTTGCACTTTGAGGTGTGACAACTTTTTTCACTTTTGAATTTTTTTTCACTTTCAACTTTCAAAATGTTCAGTGGCATCCTGCCAAGACATTCATACATATATATTTTTATTTATTTATATTTGGCGCCCTCTATGGGCCACAGCAGCAGGAGTGTGTCAATCACACACTAACTATGCTGCATATGTCAATAAAAAAAAACAACCAGTCCAAATCTTGCATATGACATTTTTTTTTTTTTACAATCAGAACAAATGGTTGTAGTGTGTTTGTGGAAGATGGCCTTTCCACATCTGCCACAATAATTCGAAGCACGAAGTGGTTTTTCGCAAAAGCTATATACTTTCTCTTTCTCGCATGCACATGATTGGCATACTTTTCGTGCGTTTACGTGCATAAAGTTCCCGTAGTTCTCCGACATATAGTTGATGATCTTTCGCCCAACGTAAAACTCGATTTTCAGAAAAAAAAACTTGATTTTCAAAACAACGTCCAGCCAGTAACTATCGTTGCAATGCATTGTATTCGTTAGTGCGTGCTGCAACCTCAAACAGCAATGTTCGCGCAACAACCGCCCAGGGCACTGGGCATGCCTGTGCACAAATGCACATTGTGCATGCGCGATCGACTGGCGTGCAGACGAGAAAAAAGGCTGACAAGCCCATCATTTCAAATGGCCGTAAGTACACTCCTAAAACGTGGCTGTTTGGCCTGTGCTCAGCGCGTTCACGCGAACGCGCGTACCCGCGCGTCACGTTCATTCCGAGACCACACGGCCGGGGCATGCATTGCATAACAGCTTGACCAATTCAAAAGTCGATTTTCAAAAAATAACACCTGATTTTCCAAAAAGCACCCAGCGAGCAATGCTCTGCAAACTGCATTACATTGTTTTGCACGTGCGCGCGAGCGTGAACGTGCAAAACAATGTAATTTATGCGCAACATACGCGGGTGGGACATCTTTAGAGGTGACACCAGGAAGTTGAGTCGGTCTGGCTGACGTCTCTGCAAGAGACGCGTACGACCTGACAATCCAACGGGCACAAAATGGCGGAAAAGTACTGCTTCGATGTCTTTGATCAGTACTCTTCTATATGACGTGCACATACGATCATATCCATACACATAGATGCAAATAGACCTCTCGCAACAAACTATACAGTTTATTCGAATGAAAATGACGAATCGGATGTTTACGAAAGGACGTAGTGAGCCGGCCGAGAATTACATTTTAGGCTCTGGCGCCATCTCATGGAAAGTGAGGGACAAACCCTACTAAGACAATTCTCAAGCTTTGATAGTATTGGTGAGCCGCCGGTGATGTGATTTGTGCAGAAATTAGAAAAATGCACGATAAAACACCGGGTTTAGAGTCTATTGAAAATTGGAATTTATAATGGCCGTCAATGTGCCATTTTTTGGATTTATACTTTAAGCAGTGGCAAAATTTGTCACGATGTCATATATACCCACTATAATGTTCAAAAATGTCCCGCTTGCGGTCATTTTGAACTTTGACCCCTTTTGACATCCTATGCAAAATTTCAGCTTCGTGGAGTTATTTTTCACACTTTTGGCTGTGTGTACAACTGTCCAACTGTCCAAAAAAGACCAATTTGGGACAGATACTGCATAAGGGTTAATGAAGCACCTGTTCAGGATCCAAACAATGTCCTTGATGAATCAATAAAATAGCAAAGTGGCTATTAGGTAAATGAGTGAAAGTTTATAGGGAACGTGTTATGGGTCTCAGGAGTTAAGTGTGAAATTGAACAGCCAAGTAAATGTTTTGTTCTCCGTCTAGTTCCGAAATTGGGAACGAGGCCGAGTCCTTTACAAAATAACAACCAACGTACTGAGTTTCTCCGCCCATGACGTGATGGGTTAGGCGACACCGGCACGCAAAAGGACCCCCGACCCTCGACATGGTGTCGAAGCTAAAAGCTAAGCCACGATGAGTTTTGATGGATGCACAGATGAGCATTAACTGCAGACATGAACTCCAGATGAGCAGCTCCTAGAACTGGCTGCCGCCTCAAGTGAAAAGGTTGTTATCTTATTTTCCACTCTGCACTCGGTTTCTAGCAAGCAGAAGCCACTCTCGGCCAGTGCTCCGATTGCGTCCGGTTGTCATGGTAGCGAATGCGAATCAAAGTTCATCGGGCGTGGCCCATCGGGATTGGCCCCATAAGCCTCATACAGGCTAATGAAAATATTTGTATTTTCAATGCCCACTAGGCTGTGTGAATGGCAAACCGATGAATAATCAGAATCCTTCACAGAAAAGAATAAGTGATTTGGATTAAATATAGTAAATCATGGAAAGAAAGAAAAAAAATCTGGACTCATCTGCATAGGCGCTGTGCGGAGTTGGCAAAGGGCCCAGGCAGACAATCGGACACCTATGAGCCGTGACACAGTGCAACGTCCTGTCCGCACGACTGCAGCGTCACCTGATTTAGCCCGGCCCGGTGTCACGTTTCCCCATTTGACACTGTCTCATTGCAGCTCTTCAGTCAGCCCATGGCGGAATGACCACAGAAGCTGCCTTACTTCACCGACTATACATTCCAACATATTTGGTATCACTTCAAACGCAACAATACGATGAACAATAAATGGCTTATAGATGATTTGATTTTGAAAAAATGCTCCCAAATTGTGCTTTTACAAACAGCGGAGACTCTCTCGAAACCTTTTCCACTAACAACCCAGGCTAAACTTAGCTCCTGTCCAACATACAAAGCTCGTCTCTGAAGTTGTGATATATCGCTTGAAAATACCACCAACGTACTTTGTTCCTATTTGACACATTTTGGAGCCATCTCGTGATATTGTGACGAATGTCAAAAACATGACTGGGACTCGCTCACAAATTTAGTGTCAGTCAGATTTGCCCCTGAGAAATTGTGTTGACAGAGGACGCCATTTGTCGCCAAAGCCCCAGCACAGTTATGACCTCCTACTGGGGAAAAGCGTTACCACTGCAAACACATTAAGTAGGTGGTTTCCTGTCTGTTTAGCCTCTTCCCTTCCCCTCTGCCTCCCGTTGTTCGGCTGATGCGGGACGCCCGCGCCCCCGGGAGCGCCGCGAGGCATCTGTTTCAACATGACTTTGAACAGCGGCTGAGCTACGAAAGAAAATGCTTGCGCTGCACAGAACGGAGGGGTGATACGACAATGAGCGCACCGCTGCCACCTACTGTAGTGGATATGCAATTACCGTTTATGCTAATAAAGCAACAAAAAAAAGTTCCGTGGGGGGTCACAGTCTCAGAATGTCAAAATTCTCTCGCAGCCACCATATTTAGTAGAACCTGGCAGGAAATTGCCAACAACCATCATCCTCTCTCTCGCAGCCACCATATTTAGTAGAACCTGGCAGAAAATTGCCTCAGTGCGCCCACTATAGGACACGGTGACTCACCAAAATCTGGCAGTGGAATGGAATAAAAATAAATAAATAAATAAAATAACATGCACAATACAGCTTCTGCTCCTTCCTGCGCAATAATGCTGCTTGAAATGCAACACCGTGCTCGGTATTCCATTTTACCAACAAAAGGCTGCAAATTATCAAAGCCTGGTGATGACTGACTGAAAATGCAACTGAATAATTGAACGGTGTAGCGGCTTGTTTGATGGACTGGATTCTTTTTTCACGATCGGAACACAGCGGTCTCACGTTGCATTCACACTTGCCGATTGGCCAGATGTGCAGAGGTGCACTGTGCAACGTATCACCTCTTTTATGATCAAGTGTTTAACACGCTCGATGCACTGTGCAACGCACGGCCTCTCTTCTCAGCGCTGCAAGTCGCCAAATGTACTTTCTTGTCACCATGACCACAATCGTTGTGCGTTCTTAACCCGAGCACTGCTTTATGTGCACATATGAAATCAGTGAAGGCCGTTATTACGTCTGCTTTGTTTTGACCATAACTAAAATGTTATCCGGTCCTATTTATCTGCAAAATAAATCTGAGCCAAGAAGAGGGTGAACAAGGAGACAGGCAGCAGCATCATAGAAACTTCAAAGTGGGCATACAGTATGATGTGCTTTTTAATTGCTTGTATAAAAATAGTTGTGTGCCTGGAGTGCCTACTCACCCATCGAATGTGAAACTGGGAAAACAAGTCAATCTTTGGTTGAACTGCCTTGCCAAACGGAGTTTCTCTGCCCACGCTAGCATCAGCTAGGCTGGGTGAATATCCAGTGCCACTTTACAGCTATGGCCGGAGTCGCAGCTGACAGACGACACTGTCTGAAACACGATCATGAAGTGACCCACACATCCTCCATGAGTGTGATGCCCCTGATGGTATCATGCCAAAAGGTAAGCAGAGCTGCGTTGTGTTTTGTTGTTTATCGGCGCGGATTAGCGTTAGCCTCCGATGAGCAGCACATACTTGATTGCTTAGTGAAGTTGTCCACACGGTGGGAGTGAGAGGTCACTGGCCAAGCAGTATATGACTTTCATGGGACAAAATTGGGCTGATTTCAGCAAGACAATAAATAAGGTGACTATAGTGTACTATAATTGTTGATGTTTGGGGTATTTTTAAACAAAGCATCCCAAAAAAATCGTTCTGTACTTTAATGGGAAAAGTAACCCATAAACGCATCACATGTACACTAACTTACCCAATTGCAATGTATTGTATTGCACAGCATATCGCCTTATTTTGTAACGTGCTCATGAGAGGACTGAAAGAGAGCCGCAACAGCTTAAAAAAACTCATAAAATAACGGCTGTTAACTTGGATAAGGTTTAGTGCCACATAAAGAAGAAAACACAGAAATGCAGAAAGCCTGAGAGAGGAGGAAAAGATGGATATTCAAGCATCCTTGACAAATATATACGGTTCAGTGTAAGAAAAACTAGGGGGAAAAAAAAACCTTTAGCGGGACTGTGTTACTATGGCTACTGGTTGACTTAGCATCACCTTCTTCTTACTTGCGTGGGCGCTTTTCACTAAAAAGTTTGAGCCTATTTTGTACTGGAAGCAACTTGTCAAGTTTGGAAAATAGGATATGGATAATTCAAACTGAAATAAAGGCATACATATCCAAACATGCATTTGGCCGTGTGGGCCAGCACAGTAAAAATCACTTGAAAATTTGCGCTACAGTTGGGTAGCTAATGATGAACCACAGTACAGTCTGTTCACTGTAGCTCTAATAAAATGCAGCGGCTTCTCTCCCACTACTTCCTGTTACCCCCCCCCCCTCCCATGCTCATGACCATGCCCCCCGGGGATGGGGGGGGTGGGGGTGGGATGTTTTGGAGGAAGGGAGGAGCAGGGTGGCGACTGTTTAACACGATCGCATCCTTCCCTTCTTTTCGTGGCCCACAGTGGATCTGCAAGGATGCTCACTCCACGTGGTGCATTTTAACGGTAATTAAGGCGCGCTGTGTGAGCACTCAAGTGGACATGTAATTGCATTTATACCTCTGCACTTTTCTAACACTGTTGAATCTCCCCCCCTCCCCCTTTTTCCATATTTCATATGCTCTCCCACTCCTCCTCTCGCCGCACCTTTCCTCATGTTTTTTCATCGAGTTCTTTTGATATCTCCAATCCTCCTCCTCCTGCTCCTCCTCCTCCTCGTCCTTCATCTCCCCATCTCTACTCCAGCTCTCTAATGGCCGAGGGTCTCCGTGCTGAAACATCAGCAGTAAAAACACACAGTCACGCTCTATGGGGGGAGTTCAATGTGTGTGTGTGTGTGTGTGTGTCTCTGACTGATCTCTCAGGGGGCCAAGGTTATTCGGAGGGTCACTGATGCATGTCGCCATGGGAACCCAAGCCCCGCCTTTTTCCCCATTGCTGGAGGCCATCTTAAAAGGCACAATGGGCGGGTGGATTGTTTTGAGATGTAAAAAATAAAAAAAATAACTAAAAATCCTTGGGAATTCTTTCCTAGAAAATGATACGTTGCTGTAATTATATTCATATTAAAGAAACTATAATTGATCAGGGAGTGGCAATGACATACTTCATACAAAGTGATATTAATATTTATCTCATCAAAATATACTTGTTGGTTTAAGTGTCTGTATAAATGCTTGGAAGCAGCCAAAGCAAATCACATTTTGGTCACTTAAGTCAAAATGGATGCCATGCATTTCACCACGAGGAGAGATGAAATTCATATGATGTGACTTCATCAAGCCAATCAGCAAATAAAACGAGGGACAAAAAAAAAAGAGAAAAAGTGTTTTGATGTTTTGTTTTTTTAGTTAGTATTTGTTTCGAAAATTGTTCATCAGTTAAGTTTTTCATAGTTTTAGTTGTTTTTAAATATGTAGAGTAATTGTTCAGTGCAAGCGAACAAAAAATGCCACTTAATAAATACACACTACATGAGTACAATTCTCAAACAACTGCATTTCCTTCTTCTTTGTGTACAGCATTACCAAAATAAATTTAAAAAGTACAATCAACTCTGAAATATCATTTATGATATTCATTAACAAAGATGAACAGGAAGGACACGTTCGCCCTAATTTTAGTTAGATTTAAAAACATATTTTTTTCCAAGCATTTTCAATTAGATTTTATTTCGTGAATGACATTTTTTTTTTTTTCAATTTTAGTTTTAGACACCGATCATTAGTTTTTGTGACTTGGCAACTTGACCGAACCCCTTGCTGAACCCTAACGCTTCCAACATGAACGTCCTCAAAACTGTGCTCAAAGCCACCTTGCTGCATCCGTTACAAAAACCGGACGATGAGAAGCAACGGCCACCATTTTAACAGTGTTGCCTTTTTGGGTTAAATGTCTAAAAAAAAAATACGGGAGTATGGCTACCAGTTGTCTGCAGGAGCTGTGACTCGCAAGTCATGCCGTTTTGTCAGCATGTGGCAACTCTCGCTCACCTTCCCCCATGCTCTCATCTCAATCTTTTGCTGCTTTTGTGCTCGGCTCCATGTGCAACAACAAGCACTGGCACTGCACCCGATGCTGTCTAGATGGACTATAACCAATTATGCATTAAATTGAGGAGTGTACGGGGAGATGAAAAGCAGACGTCTCCCATTATGGCTTAAATGAGGCAGTGGTGCTGTCCGTGGTTTTGAAATTGGACGCGCCCCTGCCTTGCGAAGTTTACTTTGGGGGGGAAAATAATGCGGGACACAATTACAAAGATGTGTGCATTTTAAATCGAACCCCAATAGGAGAACGACTTGAGAATTCAGCCTCACCTTCAGAGATAAGATGAATCAAGCAGGTCACATGGAGGCTAGCGGCGGCTGATTGGATGCCAGGTCCTGATCTTTGCTCGACGGAAAGACTTCGGGTCGACCCCGGTCACGGGATAATAGGATGAAAATGTAAAAGAAAATAAAGAAAGTAAGTCAAAATAAGAGCCGAGCGCCGCACTTATAATAAATAGACGCGTAAACGGACAAAAAGGAACGTTGCAAAGAAGGTATTAATCTCTTCCCAAATACATTGTGCTCATGCAAAACTATTGAATCCAAGAGCAAAAAAAACAAAAAAAAAACAAAAAACAATGACAAAGTGTTGCACACACACTTCCATTCACGGCTCCGGCTGTTGTTTTTTGGCGATAGATGAGCAGGAGAGGCTGATGGAGCAAATAAAAGCCTCCTACGCAAATACCCCCCTCAGTCTCAGCGGCATATGTGATGGAGGAGGAGACAGCGTGAAGGCAAAACTCCACACCTCCATCCCAAAATTAAAAAAAAATAATAATTTAAATGATCATTAAAAAAAAAAAAAAAGAAAGAAAGAAAAAAGGAAAAAAAAAATCAAACAGTCCGAGGAGGTCCGGCTTGGTTTCTTGGTGTCCGGCTCATCCACAACCAGGCAAAGCGGCGGCTCAGCAATCTATTTACCTCCCATGCAGCCCCTTCGGAAGCAAAAATAAACTGTGTCGGGAGGATGTGGGGGTGGGGGGTGGGGGGTTATGTCAAGAGAATAGAGGAATGCACGCCGATTCCTGCGGAGCCGACTGAAAACACGCGGCGGTGGTGCCAGTGAGCACGCTCAATGAGCGAGCAGCCTGGGGGATGGCGCTTTAGTCACAGCCTCACATTGGATATGAGAGATGATCGAGAGAGAGAGAGAGAGAGAGAGAGAGAGAGAGAGAGAGAGAGAGAGAGAGAGAGAGGGTGGGGGTAAGAAAGAAAAATGGGGTACAAGTCCATTTGGAGTCTTTGAGCCTGCAGGCGGCGCATGGTTGGATGCTGACGAAGTGGAAGGATGTGGCTGGAAAGTAAATGAATGAAAGAAAGGCTCATGCAATGAAAAGTCACCATGAGCAATTGGCACCACACAGAGGAAATAACAGGACAACAAGGGAAGATAGTCAAGACTCAATCAGAATTATATAAAGACATGCGACCCTTGCCTGCCAAAAAAAAATAAAAATAAAATAAAAAGGGCCAGGAAAAGCCTACGAGAACATCGTAAAGGCAAAGGTAGACAGAGCTGCATAAAGATTTCGTGGATGAACAGATTAGCATTAGCTCACAGCCGCTCATACTTCATTACTCGAGTCGCATGTTTCAGGTTTCGACATGGCGAGTATCGTCATGGTAACAAAAGTCAACCACACCATTGAGCCAGTGGCGTATAAATTCAATCACCTACTCACCAACACGAGACGAGGCTAATTTTAGCAAGACAAGGAAACGGATTTGTAAAAATTCATCTCATTTAGGAGTTTTGACAGCAACTCAACTTGGGACGTCAATGCACCACTGCATATTTGGTGTTTTGGATGAATGCAATAAAAATTGCCACGGGCACCCTCCAACATCTTACTGGAAGTCGAATCATAATGGTGGAAGCGGTTCTACGTAGCGGCAAGTCCACATTAACTTCTTTTTCGGGGTAATGACCAGATGATCCAACACTTTTGTCCACTAGTCTAACCGTCTTCTCTGCGCAGTTAGAGTTAGAAAACAAAAAAAATATTCCCTGAACTCCATTTGGATGACACAAGTTAGTCATGTCCTAACACTTTTTTTTTACCCCCCCACCTCCCCACCAGGGGTTGTTCACTTCCTCACGACAACATCGATCAGGCATTCAAGCTGCGGGTGTGACAAACATCCCCCTCAGCTGTCAGCCCCCCCCCCCCCCCCCCCCCCCCCCCCCCCCCCCCCCCCCCCCCCCCCCCCCCCCCCCCCCCCCCCCCCCCCCCCCCCCGATACTCAACCGTCTCGCCACTTTGCTTCCACCTCCACTTTCCTCCTGTCCACCTTCTCCAGCCGTGTTCCACATCGGATGAATGTCTGAGTTTTTATTGCATCCATTATGCACACTCAAAGACATGAAGATTAGTGCATTTGGAGAGTGTACGCTTTTGAATTATTCAACATTGAAGGAATAGGAGAATAAAATACGGTTGGATTGGTGGCGTTTGGCTGAAATCGCCTTTTATTCCCTTTTCTTGCCGGGCTGCGCATAACATGATATCTTGTGATTTTTTTTTTTTTTTGATGATTTATAAATCATGAAGACTGTGCTAACAAT